TTCAGTGCAGTAATATTATAAGACGACTTTTATTTTTTAATATTGTTGCACCTTGTGTGTGTATATTTTAGTTTCAAATTAAAAACTCTATTACTTTAACATAATATAATATTGATAGTTAGTGATCTAATAATAAGAAAAGGTTGATTTGAAGTTTTAGATGTATCTAGAATCACGTCTATAATTTATTTTTAAAGAAAACTTTGAGATTAAGTTATTTTAAAATTAAGAAAAAAAAAAAACAAGAGATTATTTATAGAGGATGATTGGAACAACTGTCCTAATTCGGTTGTCACTGTTACAAATATAATTTAACTCTAAGACATGTAGGCCATGCATTTTCCGGTAAACACAATATTTAGCTACTAGTATGGAGGTCGACATACTATTAAGTGTGTAACATTATGTACTATCAAGTATGGTGCATGGTAGCAAATTAGCATCAAATACTATTTGAGCCTTTATAGGTCTAGCATCATATGGTGGACGTAACATAATTTAAAAGTTTCATCTAATTAATAGTTAATTAATTGGATTATCATATATGTTATTTGATCCAATGAAATTTGAATAGATTTTAAATTTCTATTAAAACCTAAACACGTCGAGCTAATATGATCATGCCTTTTCTAACCCATGTATTGAACATAAATTTGAAACAAGTTTCCATTTAGGTTATGGTCGAAACCCTAGAAGAAAATCCCCTATAGGGTGTTAAATCTTCATTTAGCTTTTAGTCACTTTTAACTTTGGGATTTTGGGCAATAGTTAGAGAAAAATAAACCATCATTTTTTTTCTCAACCTTGCTTGAAAGGTCATAAAAAATTGAACTTTGTTCCATTTTGTAAGAAGAATATCTAAAATAAATTCTCTTTAATACTACACATATAATCATAAGATTCTAGTCCTAGTTTTAAAGATATTTCTTGAAGCTATAGAGTGATTATTTTTATAATTTTCAAGTGTACAATCAAATGAGAGCTTATACTCTATTTATCGGCTCTTAAGGAATAATTGATATCATATTAGGATAAAGAAGAACACAAAAAAAGATAATTAAGAGGTCAATCACTTTTAAAACTTTTCTAGAACTCAATTGCCCTTAAGAGAGATAATCTATTCTCTAAACCGATTTCATCAATTCTCTATAAAAATAGAGTAATACAAGTTGTATATATAGAAGAATTGAACTAAATTCATGTAATTTTTATTTATAAAATCAATCGGCTTAAATAAGAAAAGAATAAACAAACAGTACAAAAAATAAATAATTACTAATCCATTAAGAGAATCACTAATTCACTAGCTTATAATTGCTGAAATTAAAATATTACCACTCAATGATTAAAACACTACTACTCTATAACTACGTCACCATTATTCCACTACTTCGTAACTGTTAAATTAAATCACTACTAACTACATCAAATTTCCACCAATTTACTTGTAGAATGTACTATTAATTTTTCTTTCATTCAGAGTTCCTTGTGAACTTCAGACACAGTTCAATTAGAGTTCCAACTGAATACAATCTAA